TTCAACTCAAGAATAGCTTTAAAAAATACAGACAGAAAGACATGCAAATTAGTGTAGTAAAAATGGAATATTCTGTAAAACATGGAGAAAGCAATGAAGTTTTACTATAGGATTTAATGGAGAGATATACCATGTTTTTGGATGGGACCTATCAGTATTGTAAAGGTGTCAGTTATTTCCTAGCTAATATATATTTGGCGTGTTTCCAATCAAAAATCCAATTTTTTTTTTTTTTTTTGAGACGGCTCTGTCGCCCAGGCTGGAGTGCAGTGGCGTGATCTCAGCTCAGTGCAAGCTCCGCCTCCCGGGTTCACACCATTCTTCTGCCTCAGCCTCCCGAGTAGCTGGGACCACAGGTGCCTGCCACTGCGCCTGGCTAATTTTTTGTATTTTTAGTAGAGACGGGGTTTCACCGTGGTCTCAATCTCCTGACCTCGTGATCAGCCTGCCTCGGCCTCCCAAAGTGCTGGGATTACAGGCGTGAGCCACTGTGCCTGGTCTAAAAATCCAGAATTTTTATGGAACTAAACAAGTTAATCCTGTAATTTATCTGGAAAATAAAATGCTGAAATCTGCCAAGAAAATTTTGAAAAATAACAAAGGCAGCCTGCACTATCAACTATCGAAGTGTCTCATAAAGCTGTATTAATTAAAGCAGTGTCATACTGGCATATGAATAGACAAGTAGATCAATGAGCTAGAATAGAGAATATAGAACCAAACCTAAATATTTAATTGAGAACTTGGTGTATATTAAAGATGTCAACTGAAAGTAGGGACGGGATAGGCCATTTATTGTGCAAGGACGATGAGCTAGTCTGTCAGAAAAAAATGAATTATATCTTCCCTTCCCTCATTTTATAAAAGTAAGTGGATTTAAGGTTAATACATTTTCTAAAACTATAGAATTAATAGAAGGAAACATTGGGAATTATGTTTATAATTGGGTATTGCAATAGCTCTTTTTGAAACAAAATGCAAAACACAAAGGTTTTAACAAAAAAAAACAAAATCTATTGTATATTTTAACTTTATCTCGTTGTATCACCATAAAAGATATTTTTAACTATAAAAGATATTTTTATAACTATAAAAGATATTTTTAACTGTAAAAGATTAAAAACTAGGGCCGGGCGCAGTGGCTCATGCCTGTAATCCCAGCACTTTGGGAGGCTGAGAGACTGAGGTGGGCCGATCACCTGAGGTCTGGAGTTCAAGACCAGCCTGGCCAACATGGTGAAACCTCATCTCTATTAAGAATACAGAAATCAGCTAGGCATGATGGTGTGTGTGCCTGTAATCCGAGCTTCTAGGGAGGCTGAGGCAGGAGAATTGGTTGGACACAGGAGGCAGAGGTAGCAGTGAGCTGAGATCGCTCCACTGCACTCCAACCTGGGCGATGGAGTGAGATTCCATCTCAAAAAAAAAAAAAAAGTACATAAAGTTAAAATATACAATAGATTTTGAGAAAACATTTGTAACATAATAGATAATAGCTTAATGTAGGGATAATAAAAACAATACTTATAAATCAATAGAAAAATATAATAGAAAAATAGACAAAGGATGTCAACAGATAGTTCACAGAAGAGAAGTACAAATGACTAGTAAACACGAATCAGGGAAATGCAAATTCAAATAAGCAACTTTTTTTCAACCATAGATTGGATCAACCTTAAACACAAGTTGAAACAAGATACCCATTTTTTGCCCATCAAAGTGGCCAGAATGTAGAAGATTAATAATGCCAATTATTAATGAGGGTGAGGAAGACAGGTACTTTCATTCAATATTGGCGGGAATGTAAATGGACCCATCTTTTTTAGAAGGCAACTTTTGGCAGTATCTACAAAATGTAAAACGCACATACCTCTCAGTTCCATCACAGTGCCTTCTGTATGCCCTCTCATCAGGCTTACAAGGAGGAGAGCGCAAAAGCAACGATGTCTCCTAAGGACCAGGCCTAAATTGGCACAGCAGTCTTTCTGCCACCTTCTGTAAGCCCAGACAAGCCACAGGCCAGTACAAATCACAGGGAGGGAATCTAGCTCCTGGCAGAAGAATGGAATAAGTGGAATTATTGGCCACTACATTTTCAGACAAACTACCACATAGATAGAAAAAGCGTATTCCCTCATGTACCATGTAGCATTTTTTCAGTATTTATATGTTTATATAAATTGCAAAATATTCTATTGTTTTAGTCCATATTTACTTCCTGACCTAAACCATGTGACTGGGCACCTATTGAGTTTTTTGTTTTTAAATTTTTTTCTTGTGGTCTGTGGATAAGTTGTATAAACAAACAACTACACACTGAACCCCACCATAGTAAATGCAGTCTAAAAATTCAATTTGGTAAACCCTGGTGTTGTATTATTATGAAGTTAATTAAAAACAGTGTTTTATCAGTAGGTGGTATTGTCATAAAATCAAATCTTGTGAGACTTCCACTGTGTATAATTGATCTTACACTGAACTGAGAAAGTCCCAAGTGATTTTGAGGCAATTGATCCCTAACACACACACACACACACACACACACACACACACACACACACACAGAGAGAGAGAGAATTATTGCACCCCACTCTGAGAATGGGGTTAGGTAGGCTGGAAAGAGGATAGTCACCAAACGCCAATCATGTAATAGCTGAATTCACATTATTATGGCACATATTATTTTAAAATATATTTTTGTATATTTTAAAAACATGTATTTGTCCTTTTAGATTTACTAAGTGTCTGTATATTCTGTTCATTGAAGCAAATCTCCCCTAGGTGTGTAATGTACATCCAGTGCTCTGGGGATAGAGCTAGAGGTGAATGAGCAGTGGGAGGGGTTTGCTTGAAAAGAGTTTCTAAAGTGATCAAGTCACCTGGGTGCTAGGACAGAGCTGTGCACGGAGAAGGGGCAACTCCCCCAGCAACCTGATTGGAAGTGAGTCTTGAAAGACAAGAAATAGCTGGCCCGAAGAGACGCTGGGTTTGAAGGAGCATTCCAGTCAAAGGAGACAGCTTGAGCAAAGACTCCTCAGATAAAAGTAGTTCAACACCAGGTGTACCTGTTCTGGGTGGAGTTGGGGCCAGTAATTTAGGTTTATTTGAGCTTAGGCGGAAAAGTTAAGTGAGTACTAGGGTGTAGCCAGCCTCCTAGGCCAAGTGAGGACCCATGCAGCGGAGGGTGGGGGCCAGGCTTGTGTGTTGAGATCATCCCTCCATTGGCAGGTGGATGATGGAGTAGGTGAGAGCAAGACTAGAGGCTAGGAGGCTGCTTGGGGGGCTGCTGCCAAGATTCTGAGGAGGTGACCTGACTCTAAACTGGGAATGTGGCATCAGGACGGTCACATGTGTCATCATTAAATGTGAAATCTTTGAATAGCCAAAAAGAAATTTTACTTTATTCTTTTGTTCTATTTTCTGAGATTATATTGTATTCTAAACATGTTCAGAAGGTAGGCATATGAAATTTACTCATTCTTTTGACATTTTTAAGCTTAGCATATTTCTACTTTTAATTTATATTATAAACAAAATTTTCTTTAAACTTTACTCCAGGAGTGATCAAAAGTTTGATTTCTTGGATAGTCCTCTCCCTCTATGCAAAACTCATTATCTAACTTGGTTGTCTGAAATCCTTTATAAGTTCTGTATCTAGATCTTGTGTAGTGTTTGGTTGTCCAATTGACATTTTTATAAGCTTGCTTTTTGTTACTGTCATAATCCACTCAGCTCTTATAAATGCCTTTGCCTGCCTTCCAAATGCCATGGCTTTTGCAGTGATATTTGCACCTGTGGTGTTATGCTGGCAAGTGACTTCATGTCCTTAATGTCTTAAAATACTCTTTCCTCTCCTCCCCTCCCCCGAAAAGGAAGCTTATCTGGGGACTGGTTTGCTAAAGGTGATAGCTTCACTTCTCTTAACTTTGTGTAGAATTCATTAATTACACATACAAGGAGTAAATCAAAGGATTTTGGGGATCATCTGGTTCTGTGAGAAATGATAGGCAGGAATTGACAGGTAGGTTAAGGTAAATTATTAATAAAACACTCACCGCTGCCATATAATACAGAGGGCAATGATTGATGTTACTACCATTTTATATTATATGACTCCAGTTTATGTAGGATACAAATCCTGGACAACAATCAAGCTTGGGCTAAAAGCCATGGCAGTGAAACCAACAGCAGTTTCAGTAAATGGAGTCATCTTGTACTGTGGTTGTAAACCATAATCATTTCTTAGTTGTAACTTGGAACATCTTCTTTTCCTGGTAATTAACTATTTGTGATTTTTGCACTTCCTACCAACGCCTAGAGTCACTCTGTGTTTTTACAATGGACTGTTGTTAGTGAGGCTTCATGCCTTGCTTAGGCTAACAAGCCTTTACCTTTAATCAACCCAACAAATATTTACACTGCACTGCCCTTACAGCACATTCTCTGGAGCATACAGTAGTGCCCTCACCCCGCAAGGCACTTACAGGCTCTTAGAAGAATTTGCAGCCCTTCCCAGGGTAACTGAGAGCAGCAGGTTTGGCTAATGGAATAACCACTGCAGCTGTGGCCTGTCTTGTTAGGGAAAGAAGTGAGCATTTAGTGAGTGTAGGCACTGTGCTATTTCATATACATCAGCTCCTTTAATAATGAGCTAACTTGTCAAGTTAGAATGTGTCCAAAATGTATCACTTGCTTTCTTTTTATTCTATATTATGGAAATAACCCATGTTGAATTACTTAAGAGTTACCCTAAATTGAAATCCTCTCTTTATGTACATGTCCTGGCTGATTTCTAAAGCTAATCTGATGCAGAGTGTATTAGTAAATGGGGAAAGGCGGTAAATCATGGTATGGATGTAATGTAATAAAAACCTCATGTTTATGCTTTGTGTGCAGAATTTGCCGGGAAAAAAATAGGTTGAAAGACTTTTGCTAAAAGATTTTTCAGAACATTGCTCAAGGAATGTAGAGAAAATTGACCTCCTTTGTCCTTTCTTTAGATACATTCCACCATTGATCTGGGGGAAAAGTGGACACATCCAGACAGCCTTGTATGGGAAGATGGGAAGGGTAAGGTCGCCACATCCTTACGGGCACCGAAAGTTCATCACTATGTCTGATGGAGCCACTTCTACATTCGACCTCTTCGAGCCCTTGGCGGAGCACTGTGTTGGAGGTGAGCTGCTTTAGATTGTATGGTTGGGCCATTACTCGGAGAAGGAGCACTAGTCAGTGCAGAGCACAGCACAGTATGAATACTCGTGCCACTCACTCTGCCCGTGGCATCGGGGGCTGTTGGGAAGTCTGCTGGGATTCATCACTTAGGAGCAGCCCGCAAAGGTTAGCTTCAGCGTGTGTTTGCCAGTCACCATGTAAAGCTCTTCAGAACTCATTGTAGAATAGTTTTTAATCCTCTTGTGAAATACAGAAGCTTGATGTAAGAGGATGAGGGAGTGCTTGGAGCCCAGGCACCCCAGGACCAGGCTTCTGGGTTGATAACAGCAACAGAGGCCAGACCATTCTCAGTGCTTCGTGTATACTGTTATCTCATTTAATCCTCAAATAGTGCTGTGAGGCTGGTATTTACTATCCCTACTTTACTGATGAGGAAACTGAAGCTCAGAGGTGCAGTATAGGCTGGCGTTTGTTGGATAAGCAGTAGATAAAAAGGCTCTCAGGTTCCCTTTGCTTAGGTTTCCCTGGACAAAAAGACACATTAAGGTCGTATCTATCATGCAATGATGTAGGACACCTATTTCTGAGAAATAACTGAAATTTTCATTGCTGCTGGAATTTGGCATTGTTCTGTCTAGCCTATACAATAAGCATTCATTCTAAAATGCTTCGTAAGGAAGACTTTTGAGGAACTGGAGTTAGGTATAAGCATCCTTTTGAATGCTATTTCTACCAGAAGTGAACATGTCTTTTGCATTATGTAGTATTCCAAAGCACCTAGTTTTTTTTTGTTTTTTGCTTTTGTTTTTTTTTTAAAATAGGAACTCAGAATTTATTTATGGGTAAATTCCAGTAAACATATTAGGTATTTAAAGTGGTTAGAACTGCTAAGTAGCTGGTGACAAAAGATTTAACTGATATTCCCTCTGCCTGGAATGCTGGTCCCCAGACCTTCACGTGGCTACCTCCTCCTTGTCATTCAGGTCTCAGCTCAGACATCACCTCCTCAGAGGGACTGTCTCTGACTCCCCTAACTAATGTTTCCTTCTCAGTAAATCCATCACGCCTTCCTGCTTTAGTTCTTCATGGTAGCTTCTACTCTCTAAACCTATTTGTGTGCTTGTGTATTATTTATCTGCTAGAATGTAGGAATCCCCAGAGCCCAGAATAGCTGGCTTCTAATAAACGGTCATGGAAAGGATGAATACATGAATAGATGAGGAGTTCACATTGTGTTTATAAATCTGTAGCTGGTTTTTCCTATATTTATTTAAATATTATTTAAAACAGTTAAATGTTTTCTTTCCCTTATTTCTAATGCTTTTTCTTCTTCTACCACTAAAGCACAAAGTTTAGTTTGACCATCTGCTCTTCCTACCAGGACCAACATGGGAAGTTGAAAAGGGCAGAACAGTGATTCCTCCTTGTACTTGCTCATGTTTTTCCATCACTCCTGCCCCCAGAAATGACTGACAAAGGTGCTTCCAGGGAAGGCAGTATTTGTACCTAAGACGTACTCTAAGAAAAACAGCCCTTTTCCCCCTTTTCTGATTTTTTTTCTGACTATAAAAGGAATAAGTACTCATTTTAGAAAATATGGATAATACATTTAAAAAATAAGAATCACCCGTAATTTTGTCACCCAACATATATTGTTAATGTTTTGTTCCATTTTCTTATAGTTCTATGCATTGTTTTTCCAAAATTTGAATTATCATACATTATATTATAAAGACTTTCCCATGTCATTAAAAATCTAAAAGTCTTCAAAAACACAATTTTAATGATTCCTTAATATTCTACAAGGTGGTCATATTATAATTTAACCATTCTATGTTTGGGCATTTAACTTAATTACAACTTTGTAACTATCAATAATTATATCATCCTTCATCAGAAAATTTTAGGCAGGATTTCAAGAATTGGAATTTACTAGATCAAAGCTTATACATTTTATAAAGAGATGGAGTCTTGCTGTGTTGCCCAGGTTAGAGTACAGTGACTGTTTACAGATACAATCATCATGTTCTACAGCCTTAAACTATTGGGCTCAAGTGATCCTCCTGCCTCACCCTTGCAAATAGTTGGAATACATACATGTGTCACTACATCCAGCAATTTACAAAATTTTTAAGGTTCTTTATGCATATTGGACAATTGCTTACTAATTCACATTTCCCTACCAGCATTAAGAATTTGTAAATTTTAAAAATCTTAATTTGAACAAAAATTATAATCAGATTTAATGACCTAAGCACCTCTTTTCTTTTAAATAAAAGTATACATTCATATTTTTAAGTAGGCAGTTCGTACTCATGATAGAAAGTTCACAAGGTACTGACAGTATACAGAGAAAGTATCTCGCTCTCTGTCCTCTACTCTCCATCCCTACCCCAGCTCAGTGCTACGCACTCCCAAGGTTCTTGTGTGTGATTCCAAAGATAGTGGATGCATTTATAAATATAGATATCTTTTTCTCTTCACACAAAAGGCAGCATTATTATAACCCCTTTCTGCATTTAGCATTTTTTTCACTTAATTTATAGAAGAGCTTGCCACATCAGTGTATATAAAAAAGTCTCATTATTTTTAAGGGCTTCATAATATTTCATCACTTAGATAAGCAATAATTTATCCAACCAGACCCCTATTTCTGGGCATTTAGATTGTGTTCAGTCATATGCAAAAGGATATATATTGCATGATTGAACACAACCTAATACATATATATTATTTTACATATGTACAGTTACCTCTGTAGGATAAATACCTGAAAGTAAAATTGCTGGGTCAAAGGGTCTGTGCAAATACCACTTTTTATTTTTTCATTCATTCATTCATTCATTCATTCATTCATGTAGAATTTCTTACAGAAATTAAGAGTAATGTTCAGGAACTTCTATAGCGATGTGACAGAGTTAATTTTATATTTGTTGAATCTTATAGTAGGAAATTGAGGTTTATATATTTTTCATTTCATTTTTCTAGTAATTAACTTTTATTGTCTTTTTCAAAAGTATGTGTTCATGACTTACTGGACATTTTCAAAACCAACCCTTCACTATAAATAGCTTGAGAAACACTGATATAGACAGCTCCAGCTAGAAGGGAAAAATTCTTCCCCAGAGAACTGAGTGAAAGATGTATGTTGAATTCCCTCCCCCTGTTTTCTAGGCTAGTGAAGTGTAATTGTGTCCATTTATCATGTCACATTTCTTGGATACATCGGGATCTCTTTCTCTACCCTGTAGATGATATCACCATGGTCATCTGTCCTGGAATTGCCAATCACAGCGAGAAGCAGTACATCCGCACTTTCGTTGACTACGCCCAGAAAAATGGCTATCGGTGTGCCGTGCTGAACCACCTGGGTGCCCTGCCCAACATTGAACTGACCTCGCCACGCATGTTCACCTATGGTAAGCATGGCTAAGTGGAGTCCTCCCTTTTTCTACAAGTGTGCTGCTACTTCTGCTTCTGCCCTTTTTTTTTTTTTTTAAGTTTTAAACCTATGCCCATCTGTAAGAGATGGTAGGTTACACGGTTATATCAACAGCCAACTTGTACTGGGCATTGATGATGCCACGCCTCACACCAGCCTTTGAGATGGGCACTGTAACCACCCTCACAGAGGCAGAAACTGAAGCTTACAGGGGAAAGTCTTGCCCAAGGTCCCCTAGCTAGTAAGAGTCACAGCAGGGCTGGGAGCCAGGTAGATCGGGTAGCAGAGCTCATGCCCTTCAGGACTGTGCTATTCTGATGCTCATTCATCAGGACTCTTGTGACTGGTGGGCAAGGGTGTGATGAGGCATGTGAATGTCAGTGGGAAGGGAGCCTGGCACAGTAGCAGCTCACTGGATTTTAGGTTCCTGGGGAACAGTAACTAGATCCCGTATTTAGACACATGCTTCATTTTTTTTTTTTTTTTTTTGAGACGGAGTCTCACTTTGTCACCCAGGCTGGAGTGCAGTGGCGTGATCTCAGATCACTGCAAGCTCCGCCTCCTGGGTCCATGCCATTCTCCTGCCTCAGCCTCCCAAGTAGCTGGGATTACAGGCGTGTGCCACCATGCCCGGCTAATTTTTTGTATTTTTAGTAGAGACAGGGTTTCACCGTGTTAGCCAGGATAGTCTCGATCTCCTGACCTCGTGATCCACCCGCCTCGGCCTCCCAAAGTGCTGGGATTACAGCATGAGCCACTGCACCCGGCCGACAAATGCTTCTTGATTTGGATTAAAATTGTGTGTTAGCTGGGCCAGGTGTGGTGGCTCATGCCTGTAATCCCTTCTCTAGTAATTAATTTTTATTTTTATTTTTATTTATTTTTTTTGAGACAGAGTCTTGCTCTGTCGCCCAGGCTGGAGTGCAGTGGTGCAATCTCAGCTCGCTGCAAGCTCCGCCTCCCGGGTTCACTATGTTTTCCTGCCTCAGCCTCCCAAGTAGCTGGCACTACAGACACCTGCCACCATGCCCAGCTAATTTTTTTGTATTTTTAGTAGAGGCAGGGTTTCACCGTGTTAGCCAGGATGGTCTCAATCTCCTGACCTCATGGCCTGCCCACCTTGGCCTCCCAAAGTGCTGGGATTACAGGCATGAGCCACCGCGCCCAGCCTTTTTATTGTCTTTTTCAAAAGTATCTTACCGGACATTTTCAAAACCAACCCTTCACCATAAATAGTGCACTTTGGGAGGCTGAGGCAGGTGGATCACTTGAGGCCAGGAGTTCGAGGCAAGCCTGGTCATCATGGCAAAACCCTGTCTCTACTAAAAATATAAAAATTAGCTGGCACACGCCTGTAATCCCAGCTATTCAGGAGGCTGAGGCATGAGGATCACTTGAACCCGGGAGGCAGAGATCATACCACTACACTCCAGCCTGGGCAAGAGAGCAAGACTCTGTCTGAAAAAAAAAAATAATAATAATAATCCTGTTTTAACTAAGGTTCTGGCTTCTGGACTACTTGTTCTTGATTCTTATTAGCTCTTTCTTTAGATTATGTATGCACACATAAACATATCTATCATCTCACCATAACTATAATTTTCTCTTTCTTCAAACTACCCTTCTGTCTTTATCAGTGTATACATAGTTTTTATTTATTGCAGTCATAGCATGTATATCTATGGTAATTTATTTAAATAACTTTATATTCACCAACATAAAGATGTTTAATCTTTTAAGAGCCACGTTGCTGTTACTACTCTGTTATAGTTTATTTAACTATTTATCTTTGTAGGACATATGGATTATTTAAAGGTTTTCAGCATTTTAAATAACAATGCTATAAATACTGTATCTCGTACGTAGAATTATTTTCTCTTTAATGACCTTGGAGTAAATTCCCAGTAAAATTGTGGAGTCAACTTTTTTTTTGCATATTTGTACATCTTGTCAGATTGACCTCCAGCAAGATCATTCCAGTTACATTGCCACTGGTAACATGCAAGGGCACTGTCTCCTATAAGGGCAGGTGAGGGAAGGTCACAGGTATGGAAGCATGAACAGGTACACATGCTTTGTGCCAAGCAGGGTTCTGGGTGCCCTGAATTCATTTCCTCTTCTGTATTCACACCCACAACTGAAGATACCCATTTTACAGACTCTGTTCTGTTCAGCAGTTTGGTCAGTAGCTTGAAAATATAGGTGAATTTGGCCGAGCGCAGTGGCTCACACCTATAATCCCAGCACTTTGGGAGGCCAAGGTGGGCAGATCACGAGGTCAGGAGATCAAAACCATCCTGGCTAACATGGTAAAACCCCGCCTCTACTAAAAATACAAAAAAGTAGCTGGGCATGGTGGCGGGTGCCTGTAGTCCCAGCTACTCGAGAAGCTGAGGCAGGAGAATGGCCTGAACCCAGGAGGTGAAGCTTGCAGTGAGCCGAGATCAGGCCACTGCACTTCAGCCTGGGTGACAGAGCGAGACTCTGTCTCAAAAAAAAAAAGAAAAGAAAATATAAGTGAATATCCAGATTTACAGACAGCACAGGCACATGGGGAATAGTGAGTGTGTGGTAGACAGAATTGGACCCAAAAGTCAGAAATAGGCCAAATCAAACACAAAGAAAACAATGGGGAATAATGGTAAGGTCTTGTGCTTGGATATATAGATTGTCTATACAAGTAGAAGATCGGGAGACATGGCTTGGCTGCAGGGCCAGGATGGAGGTTTGGGAGCACTAACAGTACAGTGTGCCAACAATAATACGAGAAATGTCAGTGAGAACACTTAATGTGCACCAGACACAGTGCTGATGTCACATGTAGGCACAATCTCTTTTATCTCCACAGCAACTCATGGGACCATAAAATTCTGATGAAAAAACTGAGGCACAGAGAGGTTAAGTGATTTGGGCAAGGGCACAGAGCCAGTAAGTAGAAGAGCTAAGAGAGGAGCCTGGATCTGGCTGCCAGAATCATCTCAGCGATAGCACAGTAACTGGGTCTGTATGGTCTAGGCCTTCCAGGCCCAGAGTGCTGTACTGTGCGGCTGTAGGCCAGAGAGACCAGATTGGAAGGCATTACCACACCAGGTCAGGGGAGTCCAGCGGCCGAAGCAGCAGAGAAGAATAGGTTAAGTGAAGGCCTTGCTCCCAGAGAGTACCTGGGTCAGGAGACAGGCTGTGGATCCAATGCCCTAGCACTGCCACTGATGCTGTGTGTAGCTCGAGCAGTTTCTTAAACTCAGTTCCAGATTCTTCAGCTGCAGTAAGGTGGAGATACAATTAAATGTGGGTTACTGAGGACTTGGTAGGCAGTTGATTAACATATAGTAAACATTTATTGTATGTTAGGTTCATTATTTTTTTTGTTTTGTTTTGTTTTTGAGGCAGAGTCTCACTCTGTCACCCAGGAGGGAGTGAAGTGGTATAATCATGGCTCATTGCAGCCTCAACCTCCCAAACTCAAGCGAGCTTCCCACCTCATTTTTTAATTTTTTGTAGAGACAAGGTCTCACTATGTTGTCCAGGCTAGTCTTAAACTCCTGAGCTCAAGCAATCCACCCGCTTTGCCCTCTCAAAGTGCTGGGATTATAGACGTAAGCCACCATGCCAGCCAGGTTTATTCTTATTCAAATACTTGAAGGTATATTCATGTTGGTGAGAGATTAACCATGCTCTTTGTGACCCAGATAAATAAGATGTGTTCTGCCAGGGAGATTTGAGTATCGTTAAAGAATTACAATACAGGGCTGGGCACGGTGGCTCACACCTGTAATCCCAGCTCTTTGGGAGGCTGAGGCAGGCAAATTACCTGAGGTCAGGAGTTTGAGACCAGCCTGGCCAACGTGGTGAAACCGTGTCTACTACAAATACAAAAATTAGCTGGGCGTCGTAGCAGGCACCTATAATCCCAGCTACTTGGGAGCCTGCGGCAGGAGAATCACTTGAACCCAGGAGGCGGAGGTTGCAGTGAGCCGAGATCACACCACTGCACTTCAGCCTGGGTGACAGAACAAGACTCCGTCTCAAAAAGAAAAAAAAAAATTACAATACAGCATGATGAGTGGACTAATACGCGGGCCTGGTGAATATGCTGCAGCAGCATGGAGAAACCAGCCTGGATCTGTGGGCGAGGAGTCAAGTTGTGGGAGGAAGAATTCTCGCAGGAAAGGCATTTGAGCTGGGTTCTCAAAGATGAGCTCCTGAATGGAGGCACTCATAAACAGTTGGAGTTTATAGACAGGGGAGTGGGCTGTGGAAGGGCAACCCATGCAGAAGAGCAGCATTCACGGCTGCCTTAAGAGCACTCTATGTTTGGGCTGAGGAGCTGCCTGTGAGCATGAAAAACCCTTGGAGATGAGGTGAATCCATCAGGGGAGAGCTTCAGGCCCCCAGTTTTGAAAATTAACTATCTCCTTTAATCTGTGGATGGTGTTGTTACATTTTATTTCATCAGAATTTTAGAAGCAAATTTCTGTAGTTTATTATACTTTAGAAATGTTCTAGAAAGACAGGTTACCTAGAAAAAAAATGAGTGTTTTCTTCTAACCATACTATTTGTTTTTTTGTGTGTATCAGTACATGTTTTACTTGTTAATAATTTCTTTTAACCATTGGAGGATAAGATCAAACAAATATGACATTAAAAAGATCAGAAATCCAGAATTTGGATGCTTTGTTGAAATGTAAAAATTAAAACATCTTTGGTAGCTCCAAAGAGCCGAGAGAGAGAAAGCGCTATTGTTTTGTTAGGTGCTATTGGTGTAATTTTAGTTTAAAATAATGTTTTTAGTAAACTTTTTCCTGGGCTGGTGGAAAAGGAGCAATCCTTCACCAAAGGTGACCTAACACATTAGAGCAAAGCGCATGCTTGTTACTTTTGACTGGTCGATTGAGGTAGGTCCACAGTTAACATGCTAGAACCGGAAACCTTTTATCATAGTTAATCATGTCCTCATGTAAGTGTGTTAGCTGTTG